CTACAGGAATAATCTTGGAGGTGAGCTCTAGAAATGTCACTTACCAGACGGATAACTTTCTACGTTAAAGAACCTAAAGTTTCAAATTGCAAAATGGCGACGGTATAAGGCAGTAGTTGCAAAATCGGCCGATAATTTCAAATAAAAGCGATTATTAGGCCAATTTTAATCAAGTAAATATCGTACTTTTCTTATCAAAAGATTCAAACTCTTTAAGTTATCTATATGCAATAATTGCCTCTTCCCGCAACAAAAACCGTAACTCCTAAAACGAAGCCTGCATGTGCCAAGCATACTTTTAGGTGGAAAACACTACGTTAGTAGGAGTTCTGATGTGTACTTGCCGATTAAAGGAGCCTAAGAATGAATGGATTTGAGTTTTGAAAGATTTTAATTAACATTTACCTGGTGCTCTCAGGACTATAAACGTTTTTGTGTTATCTGCAAATTCATTAATGCAACTTTTGGAATGCAAAGCATAATTCACGTGAGTGCAAACATTTTTGGCCACAGCAAGTTCTTAAAGGGATGTCTGAAAAGGCAAGCATTTATTTTTGAAAACCAGTAGCATGTTGATTAGGGAGTTTAAAAACGAATGAAAGCGGAGTTTCAAAAGAGCTATTTAGAAATTTGCAAGTTTTTCAAATCTGAAAGGCCCCGTGCCTTAACGCACAAAATGAATGTAGAAATGATTTGTAGTGCAGCCTTCGTAAATGGTTAGACTTCTTTAAAAAAACTATCCTGCTAGCACACATCCCTGTCCTGAGGATTGGCATAATTAGGATGGAAACGGTCATGACCTTGGCCATAGCTCCCCAGTATCTTTCTTGGAGGACTGGAAGAAACTGTGACACCTGCGGAAATTTTAGTCTTTGGCGCTGCCGTATGAGCGGAAGGGTAGGGCTGGTAGTCGGGATGTCAAAAGATAGTCCGGACCGCTCCAGGCCTTCGAAATATATGGTGGGCTGTAGTCCACAAGTACCCTTGCTTCTATAGGGCGCTGAATGCAAAATAACTAATCGAGCATTCTGTACTAAAATCTTGAAGAACTCCCAATCATTTAAAGAAATAACAAAAAACGAACCCCCACCTACGATTCGAACACGGAGACCTTAATCATAGCTGATCTCAAAGCGTTGAACAGGAATATGTGCCAAAAAATATTGCAAAAGGAACATGCACACTACTTAAGTAACTACCTATTGAAGCTGCCTCTATCTTATTTGGATTCTCATTATGTCAGACTTCAATAAAACAATTTGAAGAATTTTCAGACCATATTTATATACTTCCTCCTATACCTATATCTTAAGTGATGAACCTGGAAGAGAAATTGAATATTTTACATGAAGTCAATGTGGTCATTCCCTCCACAAAACCGTCACTAGACACGAAGAACGAATAACAATAAGGGTAGAATGTTCAAAAAATGAGCTACTTATTGCATGCATTTATATTTAAAAAGATATGAAACTAATGTATAAAAATTACACGCAATTCATCGTCGGTAAGTTCACGAGGGCTGTGGTCCCAGACATTGAAGTCAGGCCTTTCAGTTACAGTTTCCGTTTTCATCGTTGACTCAAGGTCATTCAAGGGTATTGCTTCAGGTCGCTCTGTATCCACAATTACGCTCGTACACAAAAAATAACGGCGTTCATTGCAGGGATGCAAAGCCCACTGGCCATTTATATAGTCTACTGAAACACAAAGCGTTTCACCGATACGCATTTGCAGCAATTTCGCACTGGGTTCTTTAAAAAAGCTGAAGTGAGCTTTGCTTCCATCAGTCCAACGTAGAAGGTACACCGGTCTCTGTTCTTCGTTGAGTGCCCTAGTCACTTGTCCGCCAATCCAGAAGGAATTCCGTACGTGATTTCCCAACCATCGCATGACAGCGCGGTTTTCTGGAAATGACTGAATAGAAGCTAGTTTTGAGACGAATGTGTGGGATTCGTTGTTCTTTGCTGGGGGTACAGGCAATTTTCCTTCATTCCACATAAGGCGAAATTTGTGATGCGCACTAATATTCATACAAAACAATTCTGCTTCAGCAAAATTTAATTTCGCATCATTTCCTCCATGAACATAAGAAAAAATCCGGGTACCAAGAGAACCTTGGCTTATTTCCATACCGATAGATGATCCAACGACCACAAGTAGATAGATCGTGCCCAGCCAATAAAACAGCGATCGAGACATTGCGCGTGTAACAAAAACAATAAGAATACTGTTCGACAAAGTAGCAGGCCTTGTAATTTATTATGAGAAAATGAATGTTAAAAGAATCAATAAAAGTTTGATTTAGTATTAAATTTGTGCGTAGAAGACGTGTCTTAAAAATGCAGCCGATATTCGTTTTAATAACCAATATCGTAGTGCGTTCTTTTAGGATCCACCAATCAAACGTTAAGCGAGTAGTATTTGGTTAAGATTTACAAATTAAATCAAGTAACTGGGGAAATCGCGTTCTGAAACTCTTCTTAATAAATTTGTTTCTACAATCGCGAAGCTTGGATCATTATTACGTATTGTTGGCTA